AAAACGAAGAAGAAAAAAGAAGGTAGAAAGTAAAAAAAAAAAAAAAAAAAAAAAAGAATAAAAATAACCGACGTGCAAAAAAATGGCAAACGAAAATCTTGTCGTGAATCTTCCAAGACGATTATTATACTTCTTTTCACAATGAAATCTTCTTTTTATATATACGTGTTATACGTACATATATACGTATATATATATATATATATATTTATATATATACATAATATATATATATATATTTCTTTTTTTTTCTCGTTCTCTTTTACTTTCTATGATGTATATCTCGCACGCGATCTCAGCTTCTTCCTCGATGGAAGAATACGACAATAAGACGCGAGGCCGGCTAAACTCTTCGATACGTTCGAGAGACAAGTATTACTACTACTCTTTTTTTTTCTTTCTTTCTCTGTCTGTCTGTCTCTCTCTCTCTCTCTCTCTTTCTTTCTCTCTCTCTCTCTCTCTCTCTCTGTCTTCTTTTCCTTTCTCTCTTCCTCACTACCTCAGAGGACGGAGGAGGAAGGAGAGCACGGCCCGCTTCCTACGACTGCCGGCTGTCGACTGTGTGCTGTATTGCGTGTGCATGTATATATCCTCATTGGGCTCCCGCCTCTGCCGCTACAAAACTCTTGCCGGCGCCGCTGCCGCCACCACCACCACCACCATCACTGCCATCGCCGCCACCGCCGTCGTCGCCACCACCACCACCACCACCACCACCACCACCACCACCACCACCACCACCAATCTACTACTACTACTACTATTACTAATACACTACTGTCCTCAATGTTACCTACAACAACGACGACAACGACGACGATGTGATAAGGACGATGAAAATGATGATGAAGACAATAAAGACGATGAAGATGATGAAAATGATGAAGATGAAGATGATGAAAATGATGAAGATAAAGATGAAAGTGATGATGAAAACTATGAACACTATGAAGACGACGATGGTGATGATGATGATGATAATGATGATGATGAAAATGATATGAAGATAATTGAAGACAATGAAAACCATGAAGACGATGAATACGACGATGATTTGAAATTTTTCTTTTCCTTCCATTTATACTGCTAGGCCTTCTTCTTCATTTATTTCTTCTTCTTTCTCTTCATTTATTTCTTCTTTTTTTCTTTATTTATTTTTTCTTTTTCTGCATTTATTTCTTCTTCTTCTTCTTCTTCATTTGTTTCTTCGTCTTCTTCTTCTTTATCTACTTCGTTTTCGTTTTCTTCTTCTTTTTCTTCTTTTTCATTTATTTCTTCTTTTTCTTCTTCTTCATTTATTTCTCGTTTTTCTTCTTCTACTTTTTCTTTTTCATCTGCTACTCTTCTTCTTCTACTTCTTCTTCTTCTTCTTCTTCTTCTTCTTCTTCTTCTTCAAGACAGAAAAGGCTTTGCAAAGGCTACCGATTATTATGTCTTCGACTTCTTGCTCTCGTTCCGCTTTCTCTTCCCTCCCTCTCCCCACCCCCTCTCTCTCTCCACATCCTTCTCCTCTTCTTCTCTCTTACTGTTCTTCTTCTTCTTATTCTTGTTTTTCGATACCGTAATTCACGGTAAATCTTCCGACTGCATTCTCCAAGTCCTTACAAAATGTAAGCCTTTTGTAAATCATTTCTTCATTGATATTATCCAATAATGCGAGAATATAATGAATATGTGTGGGTTTATGAACGATCAGTCAGTTCGTTTCAATCAAAGATATTAATTTACTCTCGAAGAATGCAATTTTTTTTTCTTTTTTTTTTTTTCTTTTTTTTCTTCTTTTACTTTTCTTCTCCCCATAAATTCTAATAGTTCGTTTGATTTTTTCTTTTTCTTTTCCAAAGACAGATAAATTTATTTCTTTATGTTGGATTGTAAATTTGATTATACCCTTTACGAAATAACTTCCCCTTTTGTAAATCCATCCTCTTTGATAATCTATAATAAAAGATATAATAGAAACGTTAGGATATATGAAAGGATATACCATTCTGATGAAATATCAAGGATACTTATTTATCGTACATACAAACGTTTCCACAAATTACAAAAGTTTTTTTTCTTTTTAGAATGAATATCCTTTCTAATTTATTTTCTTTGCTTAACCTACACTATATACATATATATATATGTGTGTGTGTGTGTGTGTGTGTGTGTATGTAAATAAGAATATAATTAAAAAAAATAATAAATAAATAAACAACAGAGAATAAAATTCAAATAATGAATCTTATTTTAATTTTCTCATTTCGGATTCAATTGAAGACAGATTTTTATTTACTTACAAATTGATTGTTAAACAAATTCCAATAGCTTTTCTATAAAAAAAAAAAAAAATAAATATGATTGAATATGTTGTATTGTATTTTCTCGATTAATGGCATCCTGTGTAATTCAATTTCTTCTTCTGCTTATCTAATCGAGAAAATAGTAGAAACATTAAAGTGTGAAGAATTTCATTGTCACGTAGATATTTACTTACTCACCAAGATTACAAATTCTAACAGATATTCTTTAAATAGATATACATTTACTATATTTCTTATCTCAATGAATGATAATTTATTTATTCTTTAAAAATGGCGTTGTTTCGACTACCATTTTGTTTAGTAAGCTATGAAAAAAAAAAAATAATAGAAACATTATAAAGAATAATATATATAAATATATATTAGGAATTATTATTACGAATATTAAATTATATAATTATTGTCGAAAGTATGAAATGAAATTAATTGAACGTTTTAATACAAAAAGTATTAATCCTTTAAAAAATGGCGTCCCTTTCTTATCCATCTTGTTTGCTAACCTACAAAAAAGAAAAAGAAAAAAAGAAAAAAGCAACAATACAAATATTAGAATAAAACATAATATAAACATCAGATAAACACTTATGTATATTAAATCATACGATTGCCGAATGAATGAGAAATGTAATAATTTCCATAAAAAAGAATGTCCCTTGTATTGTGATACACCTTATTTGCTAACCTATACAAAAAAATAAATAAATAAATAAATAAATAAACCAATCTATAAAAGAAAACAAAGAAAGAAGAAACAAAAAGAATATAATTTATTGATTTAAGAATGTGCAAACGAAACAAAATTGCAAAACAATCGTTCTCGAATAAATGAAAAATCTATACTTTAGACTGACATACTACAAAAAACTATACGTCAGATAAACGAATATAATTAGATTTAATTATTAAAAAGAACATTGATATAATAATAATCGAGAGATTAGCTCTGGGGTTAGATGAAAATAATGAGGAGAAGGAGGATGAAGAGAAGAAGAAAGAAGAAAAGGAAGAGGAGCAGGAGAAGCAGGAGGAGCAGGAGCAAGAGGAGGAGGAGGAGGAGGAGGAGGAAGAGGTAGAGATAAAGGTGAAGTAAAGGATTTGTGCTGTAGGAACTTTCAGGGCAGGGATTCTTCGCGAGAGATGCGAATGTGAATTCGCTTCGTTCTCTTTTGCAACTCTTCTCTCGTGCTACTTCGTGCCGTTTCGTGACTCCGAGCCGGAGAGTTTTAACTCTCCACTTACCGGCACGTCGTCGTCGTCGCCGTCGTCGTAGTCGTCGTCGTCGTAGTCGTCGTCGTCGTAGTCGTCGTCGTCGTTCATAAGTGTAGATGACGCGCCGCCATGGGTCCATAACACAATGATATATGTATTACAATAGTGGGAGCCTTTCCTCCATCTGTCCTAGGACGTACTTCGTTTCTTACCCTTTTTTTTTTAAGTGCTTCTTTTTTTCCCTTTTCTCTCTCTCTCTCTCTTTCGTTCTCCCTTTCATTCTTTTTTTTGTGTTTACCCTTCTCTTAGTTGACATCCCTCAACTCGCATTTTATTTCTTCTTCCTTTTTGTCTTCTTTTTTTTATTGTTTTTGTTTTCTTTATTTCCTTTCTTCTATCCTTCCTTCCTTCCTTCCTTCAAAAGAAGAGAACACTTCTACGTGATTTAAAAGTACTCCTTTACTACAGAAAGTGTAAAGTTCTTTGAAACGAATTACCCAACAATATATTAAAAACCTTTGTACACTTTTTAATTATAAAATTTAATCGTTTATTTCTATTTGGACTTTTTTTATTTTCTTTTTCTCTTATGTATTATCATTATAATAACCATGTATTGTGTTATTTATTTTTTAATTTTTGTTTCGTGGAAAATTAATTATGTATTTGCTGTATTATATCTTTCTTGCAATATATAAAATATATATATATAAAAAAAAAAAAAAAAAACGATTGCACGTATCATTTTTTAAATACAATAACACATTTTTCTTTTTTCATTTTAATCAAGTTTGCGTTCCATTAAAAAAGGACAACTGCTTTTATTTATTTATTTTTTTTTTTTTTTTTTTTTTTTTTTTAATGATTAACGAATTTAGTTAGAAAATAGCCATAATAATTATAATAAATTTTTACTATAGATATATTCATCAATCACGATTTAAATTCACGTTGAGGATAATTAAATAAGGGAAGCTTGATGATGATGATGATGATGATGATGATGATGATGATGATGATGATGATTAGAATGATTAGATACAAGAAATACTTTATAATGAGCTCCTTCGTACTTACAACCCTTGTAGATTTTACCGTGTAACTCCACCGTGTTAATACGGAAGGGGGAATTACACATCCGCGTTGACATCTGACCTCTGATTATTCCAATCTCTATTCTTTTTCTGAAGCTTATGTTTTAGATATTCTTATTAGTGTTCTAGTTAACGTTACTTCCGGTGATAACGAATCCCATAAAGTCGTATAGTCCATCCTTTTCCTTCAGGTTTTTCTGGAAAACAAAACACATTACCACGTTTCTAATTATTATTATTATTATTATTATTATTATTATTATTATTATTATTATTATTATTATTATTATTAAGTTGAAAATAAACAAAAAGGGACTTAATGTTAAATTGAAAATTGTATTAATACTTTGGCATAGAATTAAAGATCCATTTATTACATATATTTTTT